TTAACGTATATTGTTTTTTGTTTGTTTTTTTAAGTAATCTCTATGCCCACTGTGGGGCTCCTCATTCTTGATCTCAGTAATAGGAGTCTTCTTTTTTTTTTTTTTTGGTTAATCTAGCTAAAGATCTGTCAATTTTGTTGAACCAACTTTAGGTTTGTTGATTTTCTCTATTGTTTTCTAGTATTTCTTTGCACTAACACAAATCATCTGAATTTTCCTTCTTCCTGACATAAATAGGAGGTAGTACACTGTGTACTTTGAGCACCAGTATATTCTGAAGGATGTAACTGAGGGAAAATGGTCCTAAATAAATCTGAGATGTAAGAAGAAATGAAGAGCCATGAAACTGGTAAATATGTAATTAGATCTTAATAAACGATGACTGATTAAAACAAATATCGTTTTATGAAACGAAGGAAATAATTATATATACAATGACAATAACATAGAAATGAGGAAGAAGGTAAATGAGGTTTACTGTATTATCTGTGAGGAGCGTAAAGGCCCATATCAACTTTAGATTCTCATGTTACGAATGAGTATTGTACACAAACTTTTTATTTATTTTTGAAAGCGGGGAGACAGCATGAGGGGGGGAGAGGCAGAGAGAGGGAGAGGGAGAGGGGAGAGAGAATCCCAAGCACTCTGCACTGTCAGCAGAGCCCGACACGGGGCTTGATCTCATGAGCCGCGAGATCATGACCTGAGCTGAAATCAAGAGTTGAACACTTAACCGAATGAGCCATCCAGGTGCCCCTGAACACAAACTTCTAACTCCCCTTTACATTCCCGTGGCTGCTTCCTTCTTTCTGGACTCTTGCCTGCCTCCAAACTGAAGTACACCAAGCCTATCTGACCCGAGGTTCCCCCACCTTCCACAGTTACCTGCAATGCCACGCCACTGAGCAGGAGGTTTGGCTTTCTAAGCAGTTGCCGATGGACCAAGTGACAACTCTGTGTGGCAAGCCTTGGCCAACGGGAAATGTGAGATGGAAGAAGTTAGGAAATCACACTGCCCTCCTTCCTCCCTTTGAAGAACTGCTCGGAGGGGCAGTTTCTTCTTATAAACCTCCCGGAGAAGTCACGCACTCTGAGTAAACACTGCATGCTGGGTGACTCTTCACAGCTCATGACCAAGCCTGGCCACTGTGGGAACACATCACATCAGGACTTTCCATTTTCTTCCCTACCCTCACTTCCCTGAATCTATACCTCCTAATACTTTCATTTTCTGCCTCAAGTTCTACTTTCTAGAGGATGCAAGTTGAACAGTGGTGTGTATTGCAAATTCTAGGATAAATGCTAAAAGAATAAAAACAAGTATACGCTTTCCAAATTAGACAAGGAAAAACATAAAATGGTCAACTGTCAATCCAAAAAAGGACAAGAAAAGAAAAATAAAGATGGAATAGTTTAAACAAATAGCACAAAGTTAGATGGTAAATTTAAATCCAAATATATCAGCAGGCACATTAAGTGTAAATGGACTAAATGTTTCAATTAAAAAACAAAGATTGTCAGGCCAAATAAAAGAGAATATGAAGTAAGGGGTGCCTGGGTGGCTCAGCTGGTTAAATGTGCCACTTGGGCTCAGGTCATGATCTCATGGTTCATGGTTTAGAGCTCCGCATCGGGCTCTGTGCAAACAGCCCGGAGCCTGGAGCCTGCATCGGATTCTGTGTCTCCCTCGCTCCTTGCCCCTCCCCCACTCACACTCTGTCTCTCAAAAATAAATAAACATTTAAAACATTTAAAAAATATATGAAGTAAATCGTAGGCATTTAAAAGTATTTAAAATGAATCTAATTTTCATAACGAATGCTATGTATTAAAAAGTTTTCTCATTAATTCAATAAAAGAACTGAGAAATCCATACCATTCAGAAAGATCTCTAATGTTAAATAGTTTCCTTCAATATCATAGTATACTGTGAAGTTCCAACACGGAAAGTAAAGACCGGAAGTAAGTCTTAGATCACCATTTCTATTTCTGTAATCTTTTTAAAATTTTTATTATTATTATTATTATTATTTGAGAGAGAGAGAGCGTGCATGAACAGGGGAAAAGGCAAAGAGGGAGTGAGAGAGAATTTTAAGAGAATTATAAGCCCCCAACTCGGGGCTCGATCCCATAACCCCAGGATCATGACCTGAGCCGAAATTAAGAGTCAGATGCTTAACCAACTGAGCCACCCAGTTGGCGCCCCTATTTCTGTCATCTCCAACAAGCCAATATCTTCTCTATAATTGTGACAGAAATTCCTCCTTAAGCCTAACTAAAATATTCACCTTACCCTTACCAAGTATGCACAGGAAATGCAACCATGTAGAGAGATAAAGCAGATAAAAAAAAAAGATGGCAATGAATATTCCTTTTATATAAGGTAGCGAGGGTGTATCTCTAACATATGTCTAGTAACTTTTCAAGAGGTGACCACTCATGGCCTTTCTTCTAAATCAGGTGAGGGGGATACAATACTGTGATCATGTTAAGGAATCTCCTAGAAGCTACTGATAACCTCTGTTGACAGAACAGAAGGAAGACAGCAGTTTACCTATAGCTGAAATCTATTTCTGCATAAAGAACAATTTGGGGATAGGCTCAGAGAGTAATAAGACTCATGGGAGAAAGATCTATTACTTTCATTTGGTCACATTATGTCTTCGTGTTTGTGCACACTATTCAAAATGCATATTTCTGGGCTCAGTTCAAGATTTTTTTTAGCTTTTGAAGTTTTATTTATTTGGCGGGGGGGGGGGGGGGGGGGGTGTGCAGAGAGAGAGGGAGAGAATCCCAAGCAGGCTCTGTACTGTCAGCGCAGTCCAACACAGGGCTCAGTCCCCTGAATCATGAGATCATGACCTGAGCCAAAACAAGAGTTGAATGCCTAACCAACTGAGCCATGTGGGTGCCCCAAGATTTATTGAATAGACTCTCTAAGGTAGGATTATATCATTTTTACTGATAATGTTTTTCACTAAGAATTGCTTTTATAAAATCATAAATATCATAGTGACACTCAATCTAGAGTAAAGTTTGTAGATTTAAAATAAACATACCTTTGCTATGGAAACCTTAATAATTCTCAACAGGGTATACCATGAAGAGTTCTCCCTATAATGGTACCTCTATACTGAACCTGAAATACAGACCTCTTCATACATTCTCACCTAAGTTTTTCCAGTGAAAACACTGGGAAAGTTAAAGGGGATTTTGTTGAATAATCCCTGGGTATGAACCTGAATGAGGCTAACAGGAATAGACACAACTTTGGCTTCATTAGCCTGAACAAAAAGGTAAACGAGTTTCATATCCAACAGAATGGTGGTATTAGATATACTCCATTAGGTAAAATCCTTTACCAACTATTACAAAGGATGCAGTAGGCTTACCTTATGAAAGTGAAGGAAGACCTTTTCTTTCCCTCCATGTGAATGTCCCCTTTAGTTAAGCTTTCTGGCTGTGTTATCACAGTAACTGATGAAGGTAGGAATGTCAACTGTTTCTAAGCAACTTTCTGTTGACATAAAGGACTCCTGGCTACTAAACTGTATCTGGACTGAATGCACTATAAATCATCGGATGGGAACCTCAAGCTTTGGGCTCCTCTGAGTGTGGTATCTCTTAAGACTGATATGTCCCTTGTGGGGACCCTGGAAGTTTTACTTAGAGATAGTGGCTCCTTGAGGCCTGTGAAGGATCTCATCACCTTGCACCTAAACTGTTTTGGGTGAACTGCTACAGGACCTCTCGTGCTAAGAAGGACTGCTGGACACTGTCCTACTGGCAGCCCGCTGTTCCCATTTATTATCTCTTTTGAGTATACTGGTGCTACATGTGGTCATGGTAATCTTTTAAGTTTGAATGCTTAAACTTAAAAAGACCCCTTTTGGGGCATCTGGGTGACTCAGTCGGTTGAGCGTCCGACTTTGGCTCAGGTCATGATCTCGCGGCCTATGAGTTTGAGCCCCATGTCGGGCTCTGTGCGGACAGCTCAGAGCCTGGAGCCTGTTTCAGATTCTGTGTCTCCCTCTCTCTCTGCCCGTTCCCCACTCATGTTCTGTCTCTCTGTCAAAAATAAATAAACATTAAAAAAAAAAAAAAAGGCCCCTTTTGGTCATAGCTATAAATAATTTTAGATGCATAAATTCTGCAATTATATTCTAATTGTTTAGTTAAGCCTAAAGAAACCCCTCAGGTGGGTGTAGCAGTAATAATTTCCTAACTACTGCTTAATTTTCTTTTTTAATTTTTTTAACATTTATTGATTTGAGAGACAGAATGTGAGAGGGGGAGGGGCAGAGAGAGGAGACACAGAATCCAAAGCAGGCTCCAGGCTCCAAGCTGTCAGCACAGAGCCCGACGCAAGGCCTGAACCCATGAACCGCGAGATCATGATCTAAGTCGAAGCTGGACACTTAATCAACTGAGCCACCTAGGCGCCCCTAACTACTGCTTCATGTGAGACGAATCTCAGTGAATTCACACTTATACTTTTCTTTTTACACTAAAATTGAATAAAAATAAACTATAGATTCATTTACTTTAATTATAAGGCAGTAAAACTGTCATATCAATTTAATAATTGTAAATAACTTAAATATAATAATGTATAATGACTGAAAACATTGTTAATTCAAAATAATAGAAAACAAAATTGAGTAAAGTACTATTGAAATCTGGGCATTTCTATGACAAGACATAAATTTTAAAATGTAATAAAATCCTACATTTTCTTTTTTACTTTTTTAAGTTTATTTTATCTTTTAGTAATCCAACATGGGGCTCGGACTCAGAACCTTGAGATCAAGAGTCTCATTCTCTTCCAACGGAACTAGCCAGGTGCTCCAATCCCTTATTTTCTCAGCAAAAAGCTTCTTAAATCATATTTTCCTTTCAAACTGGCCTTCATATTTTAACTGGAACTTCTTTTAAAGGATCATTTCATTTACAGTTGCAGATGTCCTTTTAACACATACAATGTGCACTATATGCTGGAATCAAATCCCTGAAGAAGTTGGAATCTTATGAATACAGCCAGGACAGCAGTGGAGAGAATCGTGAACAAAAACATCACAGTCCACACAGAAAACATTTTGGCACACAGCACAAACATAGACCTGCAGTGAAAAGAAGAAAAGAGATTTTAAAAAATAGTTTCCCAGAGTTAAGTGCAGCATAGCTAGAAGACATTCACACTGCTTTGCTCTTCCATGTCTTTTCAATTTGCCCCACCCACCTACCCATTATTTCCACTGTACTATTTATTCTCAAATCTCAGGTGATTATTTTTCCAAAAAAACCCTATTCCTTATCATCAGAAAATTACTTTGTTTTGACTCATTACAGTCTGTTGTATTGTAAGACACTGTCAATTGCTTCATTTTATGTAAATGTCTGGGGAAGACACATGAACTTGAAAGCAGGGCTGGTTTCAAATGCTTAGAGTGGTCATTTCTCTGATGCGAATAAAAAGAAAAGCATGGGAGCACCTGGGTGGCTCAGTCGGTTAAGTGTCCGACTCTTGATTTCAGCTCAGGTCATGATCTCACGGATTAAACACCCAGGGCTCTGGGCTGTCATGGCAGAGAATGCTTGGGATTGTCTCTCTCCCTGTCTCTGTTTCTCCCTCAAGATAACTTAATTGATATGAGACAGCTGTCAGTGCAAAGCCTGCTTGGGATTCTCTCTCTCCCTCTCTCCCTCAAAATAAATAAACTTAAAAAAAAAAAAATCTTAAAAAAAAATAAAAAGAAAAGCACAAAACTGTAACACAGATTTAGTTATTGCTAGGGAATGATCTCACAACTGCACAAATTATATTCCCCTTTTATTTAACTACTGAACTACTTAATATGGGAAAAGACACACATAAGATAAAATTTAAAAATCTATAATTCTATCAGTATTACATATAGGGATACTTGTGCCATGGAGTAAAATTACCAAGGCAGCACCATACACAGTTAAAAAAATTACTAAATCTCAAAAAGTATACAAGTAAAGATGTGTTCTTAAAAACAGTCAAATGATGGCACAAAAATAGATGCTAAGATCAATGGAACAGAAGAGAGAACCTGGAAATGGCCCCACAAACGTATGGCCAACTAACCTTTGACAAAGCAGGAAAGAATATCCAATGAATAAAAACAGTCTCTTCAGCAAGTGATGTTGGGAAAACTGGACAGCGACATGCAGAAAAATGAACCTGGACCACTTTCTTACACCACAGACAAAAATAAACTCAAAATGGATGAAAGACCTAAATGGAAGACAGGGAGCCATCAAAATCCTTGAGGAGAAAGCAGGCAAAACCTCTTTGATCTTGGCCACAGCAACTTCTTACTCAACACGTCTCTGGAGGCAAGGGAAATCAAAGGAAAAATGAACTATTGGGACCCCATGAAAATAAAAAGCTTCTGCACAGTGAAGGAAACAATCAGCAAAACTAAAAAGCAACCAACAGAATGGGAGAGGATATATGCAAACAACATAGCAAATAAAGGCTTAGTATCCAAAATCTATAAAGAACTTATCAAACTCAACATCCAAAAAACAAATAATCTGGTGAAGAAATGGGCAAAGACGACGAGGCACTTCTCCAAGAAGACATCCGGGTAAGTAACATGAAAAAAATGTTATCACATCATCATCAGGGAAATACAAATCAAAACCACAATGAGATACCCTCACCTGTCCAGAATGGCTAACATTGTATTTTCAGGCAACAACAGATGTTGTCAAGGATGTGAGAAGAAGGGATCCTCTTCACCATATTGTTGAGGTGGGAATGCAAGCTGATTATGACCACTCTGAAACTAGGTTCCTCAAAAAAAACTAAAAAATAGAACTGGGCCAGCAGTACACTACTAGGTATTTATCCAAGGTGCTGTTGAAGGACATACTTTAATGTTTACACCAGCAGCACTATCAATAATAGCCAAAATATGGAAAGAGCCCAAATGTCCTCGACAGATGAATGGATAAAGAAGGATGTGGTATGTGTTAGTATTGTGTATATGTATGTGTGTATATATATATATATATATATATATATATATATATATATATATATATATGAATTACTAAAACTTGTGACTCAAAAGAAAATCTTGCCAATTGCAACTATGTGGATGGGAACTGGGGGTAATAGGCTAAAGTGAAATGGTTAAGAAAGACAAAAATATCAATGTGACTACACTCATATGAGGATGTTGCTTATTTAACACAGATGAACACCAAAAGGAAGGAAACCACAAAAATAATAATATAAAAGCAGGAGGAGGACAAAGCAGAAGAACTCAATATGGAGGAACAAACTGAGGGTTGCTGGAGGGGGGTTGTGGGAGGGGGATGGGCTAAATGGGTAGGGGGCATTAAGGAATCTACTCCTGAAATTAGTGTTGCACTATATGCTAACTTAGATATAAATTAAAAAAAAAAAAATAAAAAAAAAAGCACATTTAACAGTATAGTCTAAGTTCAGACCTTCAGAAGGACAGTCTGGTAGCATATATTAAAATGTCAAATACGAATGCTGAATATGAATACCCTTTGACCTAACAATTTCTGTTCTGAGTCCCCAGAGAAACCACTGTGTATATGCAGAAAGAAATATGTACCAGATGTTCCCTGCATCATACCTTGTAGCAAAAAAACTGTAAGAATCAAACCCACTCCCCATCCAAAAAAAAGTCAAAAGATTCAATGGTGGTTATAGTGAGGATGAAGCTACCAATGTCAGAGGCACGTAAAAATTAATAAAATTGTTTTATCAAATATGAGAGTAAAACAAGCAAGCAATCCTTCCAACTAATATTTTATATAGTGTATAAAGTACAGTTTTAAATATGGACACATTACCAATAAAAATAAAACTACACACTGATCTTATCTGCATCTTTACATAAGTGTATACATTCAAATTGCACCCTTCAAAATTTTTGAAAATATTTTCTAGGGGCGCCTGGGTGGCGCAGTCGGTTAAGCGTCCGACTTCAGCCAGGTCACGATCTCGCGGCCCGTGAGTTCGAGCCCCGCGTCAGGCTCTGGGCTGATGGCTCGGAGCCTGGAGCCTGTTTCCGATTCTGTGTCTCCCTCTCTCTCTCTGCCCCTCCCCTGTTCATGCTCTGTCTCTCTCTGTCCCAAAAATAAATAAAAAACGTTGAAAAAAAAAAATTTTAAAAAAAGAAAATATTTTCTAATTGGCACAATCGGGGAACAACCTCTGGTCTGAAACCACCTTAAATGGTAACTTCAAAGTACACTGTGACAGAGCCTAAAGTAAGTTATGGAGAAAAAACTTTTAATACTTTCCATCTAAATGCATTTTAGCTTGTAAACTAAAGACAGTTGAAAGTACTAAAATATTATTACAGGAAAATTAGAATGGAGAATTATAAAAAAAAAACAACTAATTTTTAAAAATTTTATTTATTTTTGGGAGAGAGAGAAAGAGAGCATGACTGGGGGGGTCGGGGTCAGAAAGAGAGGGGGACAGAGGATCTGAAGAGGGCTCAGTGCTGACAGCAGCGAGTCTGATGTGGAGCTCGCACTCACGAACTGGTGAAATCATGATCTGAGCTGAAATCAGATGCTCAACCAACTGAGCCACCTAGGTGCCCCTATTTAAACTAATTTACTTCCATTTACCCTCTACCTACTGTTATCCCTTCTGAGGGATAACCTGGTAAGAGCCTGGTTTTTAATAATATACTGTAAACTTCTAATGCTAGTTCCTCAGTATTTCTTAGACAATACTTAGCATTTAGAAAGCACATGAACTTACGTGCTGGTCTTTTAATTCCCCCTGACATCCATAACAAAATCTGAAAAAGAAAGTTTAAGAATTATTTGTTAGGGACTCACTTGTTAATACAGTTCGGCAAAATCTCAGTAACAAGAATCCTGTAATTAATAAGTAATTATCTTTACATATGACTTTTATGAGAAAGACAGAATCAAGAATACCAATAATTTAAGAAAATTCTAGGGGCGCCTGGGTGGCGCAGTCGGTTGAGCGTCCGACTTCAACCAGGTCACGATCTCGCGGTCCGTGAGTTCGAGCCCCGCGTCGGGCTCTGGGCTGATGGCTCAGAGCCTGGAGCCTGTTTCCGATTCTGTGTCTCCCTCTCTCTGCCCCTCCCCCGTTCATGCTCTGTCTCTCTCTGTCCCAAAAATAAATAAACGTTGAAAAAAAAAAAAAAATTAAAAAAAAAAAAAAAAGAAAATTCTATAGTCCCAAGGTCATCTCACAAAGGAAAATTCTACCTTAAAAAATTTTTAACTTTTCAGATAAAGACAGGTATCATGTTTTCACTCATAGGAGGAAGTTGAGAAACTTAACAGAAGACCATGGGAGAAGGGAAAGAAAAAAATATGTATCTATACAGTTACAGAGAGGGAGGCAAACCATAAGAGACTTTTAAAGAGAACAAATGGAGGGTGGAAGGGAGTGGGGGATGGGGAATGGGTGATGGGTACTGAGGAGGGCACTTGTTGGGAGGAAGCACTGGCTGTGGCATGGAAGTGATGAACCACAGGAATCTACAACCGAAGCCAAGAGCACACCATATACACTCTATGTTAGGTAACTTGAAAAAATATATATGTACTTCATTATATTTTATACAATTATATACATAATTATATATAAACTGGAAAAAAAATTGAATCACTATGATGTGCACCTGAAAATAACAGGATCTATGTCAATTATACTTCAATAAAAAATTGTTTTGGCTAAAAAATAAAAAATAAATTAAAGTCGTAAGAAATATTTAATTTTATTTTCATCAAGGTTAAATATGAACACACCTTTCCTACTGGGATTCTGTCAGGGAATTAAGCCCTACAGAAAATAATCTGAATGACTATTTTGCAACTCTCCTGAAGACAGCAGACAGCTGGTACAATTCTAGGTGGACAGAAATTAATTTATGTGTGGATGCCTAAGTGCTTAATTTTCAAGGAATGGTTTAAAGAGTTACAAGATCCCAAAACGGGGCACCTGGGTGGCTCTGGCATCTGACTCTTGATTTAGACTCACGACCTCAGGGTTTGTGAGTTCCAGCCCTGTGCTGGGCGCCATGCTCATAGCATGGCACCTGCTTGGGCTTCTCTTTACCTCTCTCCCTCTGTCTCTCTGTCTCTCTGTCTCTCTCTCTCAAAATAAATAAATAGACTTAAAAAAAAAAAAGAAAAGAAAAAGTTCGGGGCACCTGGGTGACTCAGTCAGTTAAGCAACTGACTTTGGCTCAGGTTATGATCTCGTGGTTCCCGAATTTCAAGCCCAGTGTTGGGCTCTATGCTGACAGTGCAGAACCTGCTTGCTATTCTCTCTCTCTGTGCCTCTCTCTCTCTACCCCTCCCCGACTCTCTCTCTCTCTCAAAATAAATAAATGAACTTAAAAAAAAAAGAAAAAAAAACCTTACTACAAAAAAATAGAGGCCCTCTCCCCATCCACCCCACTACATTTCCAGTTCCCCACTTGCAAAACTTTTAAGTGTTTGACAGTTACCTACGCTTACAGTGAGATCTCGTTTTTTTCTGGCATTGGCTATAGACCTCCTACTATGGGAGATGAGAATTTAATTCTCTTTCAACCTTCTTGAACCAACAGCATGTATACACACAACTAATTCTCAATTCTTTCTACGTAAGGAAATCATTTTGAATAGAACAATATTAAATGTTTGGTTTTATTATGACTACATAATATTCAGCTGAGTCATGTAATAAAACTCTTCTTCAAAATATTTCTTGGGGCACTTCGATGGCTCAGTTGGTTAAGCCTCTGACTTTGGCTCAGATCATGATCTGGTGGTTCATGGGTTTGAGCCCCATGCTGGGCTCTGTGCTCACAGCTCAGAGCCTGGAGCCTGCTTTGGAGTGTGTGTCTCCCTCTCTCTCTGCTCCCCTCTGCCCTTGCTCGTGTTCTGTCTCTCAGAAATAAACATTTAGAAAATAATAATAAAGCACATTAAAAAAATATTTTCTTGCTGGAGGCATCAGGGTGGCTCAGTTGGTTAAGCATCTGACTCCTCTTGATTTCAGCTCAGGTCATGACCTCACGGTTTGTGAGATAGAACCCTGCATGGGACTCTGAGAGCAGATTCTCTCCCTCTCTCTCAAAATAACTAAACTTAAAAAAATATTTTTTTTCCTGGAGTTAATAACTATATTGTGGTCCACAACCTTAGTTTTCTATGTAATTATCACCAACTCAGCCCCAACCTTTCCCTGAGAAGTCTCAAAGCCTTCTCTGTGTTCGCCTCCATCAGGAATTCGTCCTCCAGGTGACATCTCTCCTGGCTGGAGCATTCAGACCTTCTCCAAATTGGATTATTTATTCTCCATATCTGATACATAAGTGTCATTCTGTAATCTCCCCTTAGCATCATCCGAGGGCTTTCTTTAGATAAATATTCCTATTCTCTTCTGGTTACTCTCTTTCTCAGTTCCTTGGAAACATCTCTTCCACAGCTTCCCCAGAAAGTCTTATTTTGCGGCCTTACAAGTCTGAAAATGTCTTTATCCTACCTACATTTACTTGATAGGTTTGCCAGGTATGTAATTTAGGTTGGTAACAATTGTCACTCCAAACTTTGATGGAAATTGCTCCCTGGCAGCATCCAGTATTGCTGAAAAGCAAAATAATTTTAATTCCAGATTATGTAACCTAACTTTCCCTCTCCAGAAATGCTTACAGATAGTATTTTGCTGCATATTCTAAAATTTCACAACAATAAACTTTAGTGTGGGTCTATATTTCCTAACTATGTTAGGCACTTGGCAATCCGTTTCAATCCACCAAGTTCTGTCCTTCAAAAGTAGAAAATATCCTTTAGGAAAGAAATAGCTAAAGAACATTAGACCACAGTATTAGACCTTCTGGATAAATCCTTTGGTTTTACACCACAGAAACTGGCTAAGGCTACAAATCAGGGCTTTTTTGTTGTTTTGGAGAGCTGATATATCAGCATATGACTACACTTACTATATATAGATGGGTTTAGGAAAATTAATTTCTGGAAATCCAGATCTCTCTAATAATGAGTCAATTCAGTCATAACGAAGGCATTCTACCATCTTATTCTCTGTATCAGAAGTAATCTTGCCCCTTGTACCCCAATGTTCATAGCAGCACTCTCAACAATAGCCAAATTATGGAAAGAGCCTAAATGTCCATCAACTGATGAATGGATAAAGAAATTGTGGTTTATATACACAATGGAATACTACGTGGCAATGAGAAAAAATGAAATATGGCCTTTTGTAGCAACGTGGATGGAACTGGAGAGTGTGATGCTAAGTGAAATAAGTCACACAGAGAAAGACAGATACCATATGGTTTCACTCTTATGTGGATCCTGAGAAACTTAACAGGAACCCATGGGGGAGGGGAAGGAAAAAAAAAAAAA